CATGCATGCATGCATGCATGCATGCATACATACATACATAAGCTTTATTTATCCTCGGATTTTAATCTCCGATCCTAATTACTAATTTTAAAAGTTACAGCAAGAACAAGGCTAAAAAGATAAAAAAATAATTCATAATATAATAATATAATAATCATTAATATAATAATATAATGTAATATCAATGTAATATTAACAGAAACCGTGCACTAACAGGTTGCGCTTAAATTCACTATAGTCTAGTCTTTTTAAAGTGGTCAGGGAGGGAGTTCCAGTACTTAACAGATGAATAGCTAAAAGAATTTAGACCATATGTGGTTGTAAACGGCTTAGGAATTGATAAAATATTGGTGCCCCTTAGGGAGTAAGCGGTAGATCTTAGCTTGATCAGTTGTTTCAAATAGCACGGATATTTACCAAGTTGGAGACAGTTGAATATACAACTCATATTTTGTATCCTCCTGTTGGCTAAACCGCACACACCTACCTTGTCTAAAAGATCATCATAGTTCGAGTCCCAGTCCTTTAAAACAAATCTTAAAATACGTCTATTTAAGGTGTCCAGTTTAACAGAGTCCTCTGAATTACAAAAGTGCCATATTATTGAACAGTAGTGAAAATGAGGTAACATAAACGTTTTATAAAGGCGAAGCATAATTTCGGTAGAAATAAGTTTGCCAAATCTTTTGAAGACACTGAACTGATTATTTATTTTTTTTACATACAGAGGATATGTGTTCCTTGAAATTAAGTTCATTATCGAGAAATTTTTCCAAAAAGTTCCAGGCATCTTGTGGTTGAGAAGAAGAAAGGGTAATCGGTTTTGCCAAGAACCATCCCCTGGTGTTTAGCGGGGTTGGCTTTCATCCCATTGTCTTCGAACCATTTGTTTGCTATTTGTACATCATGATTGATCCGCTGTTCCAAGGCTACTGGGTCTACGTCAGATGTGCGCAGTTGGCAGTCATCAGCATAAGTGTTTAGTTTCACAGACTTCATGTGAAAGATGAGGTCATTGAGGAACATGTTAAAAAACATGGGTCCCAGGACGCTGCCTTGAGGCACGCCACGCTTCACGCTCATCCAATCCGAATAAGTATCACCAATTTTCACTCGCTGCACTCTACCCGTCAAGTAGTCACCGATAAGGGCACTGCTGGATTCATGCAAATCATACGCTTTCAGTTTCGCTAGTAGCAAAGCATGAGGTACGGTGTCGAAAGCTTTTGACAAATCCATTGATATAACCACCACGATCTCTTTATTATCTAGACTACGCCTCCAGTCCTCAGTCAACCTAAGCAAAGATGTGTCACAGCTATGGTGCCTTCTGTACGCAGATACGTATTCAGACAATATGTTTTGGTAAAAGTCGCCCATTTGAGCTGAAAGCATCCTCTCGAAAACATTATTGAGCGCAGGTAGAACGGTCACTGGTCGGTAATTGCTTTTGCTCAGTTCATCGTCCTTTTTAAATAAAGGGGTAGCTTGACCTAATTTCCAGCGCGACGGATACTGACCTGTCCTGATCGAGTGATTCATTATTGCAGCAATAGGACCAGCAATCGCGTTGGCAGACTCTTTTACCAGTCGCGGTGGTATTCTGTCATGACCACCGGTTTTGCGGGAGTTGATTTTGAGTAACAACGCTTCCACTTGGGTTTTATTAGTATATTGAAAAGCAAATTTGTTTCTCACCGCGAGCTGTTCATTGTTGTTGAAAATCGCCTGAATGCTAGGATGCGCATCCAACTCTTTTCCATAACTCAGTAATCTCTAGCACGCCGTCCGCGATGTTGACAAAATAACTATTAAAAAGCTCCGCCATTTGTCTTTTGTCTGTTATTACGACATCGTGTTCTTTTAATATTATGTCATTTGCTTGGGTGCTTTTCCTTGAATGCAAAAATGGGCGGTATGTGTCTCAAAACTCTCTTGGGTTTTCCGACTCACTTTTCTTGTAAAAGAAAGTTTTAATAGCTTTACGTCTTAGAGAAGTGCAAATGTTCCTTTGTCTCTTGTACAATTCATAATTAGAATCAGTTCTTTCCTGGATGAGGATGAATGTCTCCACTTCTAACCACAGAAAGAGCAACCGGGTTGAAGGAAGCCGTACAGTTCGAATAGTACGCCACTCTTGACTTCTGAAACTTCTTGTGAGGTGAGGTGACAGAATGGCCGCCGATCTGTGACATATGCCGTGGCGAAATTCGATTGAAATCGACCGGGTATGAGTTGAAATACTTGAAAAATTTATCCCCGTAATGCACTTGAGCATTCTTCGAGAGCTTGAGAGAGTATAAGTTGACAGAGAACAAAGCTAACAGCGAAAAACTTAATAAAATTACGGACAAACTCGGAACACGTCTGACCGCCATAACCACCGCTGACTGTTTTTCGTATTTTAGTTTAGTTTAGTTTAGTTTAAACACGATTCCTAGGAAGACCAAGTAAAATGACACGATTTCGTGTATGAAGAAAGATCGATGATGATGATGAATATCGTCTAAACAGAATTGGAGGGGGAGGGTGGGTCAAGAGGGTTGCGGCACAATTCCCAAAATGTCCCAATTTAACAATTGTAATACTTATTTCCGCGTTAGTTTCTTATGCATGGAGAAAAACGTCAAAACGATTACCAGT